TGTGGCTGATTCCTCTATTGATTGGAAGAAATCACTGTGCTGATTATAAAAAGCTGCCAAGTGAGTCTTTAGTAATATAATACCATATAACCTGCTACTTAGCAAGATTCAGCACCTTTAAGAGTCTTCACTTAGGGATACCTCCACTCACGCAGTGGAGCTGGCATTTAGAGCTAACTTCTGTCATTATTATGCTGCAGATGGAGGTGGCCATAATAAAAAACTGTTTTTCTCCTTCTATAGCTTTATGAAATTATTGTTATGGAGTAGTGTTTGGAATAATCATTGATATCGTTTGTGTGTTAAACAGATATATAATTCACACTATTTTAAAATGTCATGTTTAAAGCAACTATAAACCAGAGATATTCTGCAAGGGGTGAGAAGGGAGTAGGATCAAAACGTGTGGGAAGAGCACAAGGGACTATGGTGATGATACATGGGTGAATTGGTGGTGGGAATTTCACGGGGACTGTAACTGAGATGAGAAAGCATACATTGTAAAAAAAATGAAGGACGATGTAAAATATATATAAACAAATAAAATTATTTAAAAAAATAAAAGTGTCATGTTTAAACTAACAGTGAATTAAATAGGTTTTGTCTTAAATGAAGTTCTTTTTTTGAACTGTTCAAAAAAAATCATGAAATTTGGCTGAGTAAATTTTAAACATTATTAGCTTTATTCAGTGATTCATGAATCAGACAGTGTCTTTTTTATTTTTTTATTTTTATTTTTTAAAGAAAGCAAACTTTTTTTTTTCAACGATTTATTTATTTATACAAGCTACTGGGTATAGTCAGAAGCGCGGGAGGGTAAGAGAATTCACCAGAGCCAGAGGGGAGAGCAGAGCAGGCTGACTGACAAATTACACTGCTGAGGGGAGCAGCGGGCGGCAGGAGAGGTCTGCACACCATGTGGGACCCTCACCTGGTGGCGGGCCGGGGATTGAACCGGTGCTATAGAGGCTGCGGGCAGCTTCGCAATCCAGCGCTCAACCGCTGCACCACCGGGGAGGCCCTCAGACAGTGTCTTCAGCTAGCCAAATAGAATGGAACTCTGAAGAATCACAGCAAATGAAAGAACTTTTATAGGCAAACCAGGGTGTGAAAAGGAAGTTTGATTAGCAAAGTATTGTTTATTTGGCAAGGTCATCTACCTATGGCAAGGGTCTGTTAGGCAGATTATCTTACTAGTGTTGACCAGGTAATTTCAGATTGACAGGTTTAAGATTTCATTCCTGGGAGAAGCCAAAAACTGTAATTAAGTAATAAATCTCAGCCTGGTGGTTGGGGGTACTAAGCATAAATGACTCCTTTTGGGGCCTCTTGTCTTCATAAAAAATTTAAAAAGCCCATTATAGGCTAGACAATATTTTAAACTTTAAAGGGGATTAGCAGAAGAGGACTTTTTCGTGGATCGTGCCAAGATGGAAATAAGTGAAGAAATTTGTTTAAAAAAATTTCGAGGGCCTCCCTGGTGGCACAAGGGGTTGAGACACAACCTGTGAAGCTATCTGCAGCCACTGCAGCATGAGTTCAATCCCCAGCCAGGGAGCTACCCACATGGTGCAGCAGACCCCTCCTGTCTCACCTGTTCTGATCCCCACTCTGTCTCTGGTGAATCCTCTCACCTCCCCCCACATACATACTTCTGGTCTGTACCCCAGTTCTTGTATGCATAAGTAAATAAATCTTTTAAAAAAAATTTTTGAGAAGCCCCAAGGAGGGTGGAGGTGGGGATGTAGTGGAGGTTGAAGGGAGGCAAGACAAAAGGGAAAGTTGCCTAAGTTCAATGACCTGAGGTATTTATGGAGTTCCTAGTAACATCCTAAGTTACCAGATATATAAACCTCAGTCTTGCTTTTCAGAAGTTGAGAATGTGACTGGAAAATGAAAAATTACACATATGAAACAGATATTTAAGTAGTATTAACACTGTGCTCCCAAAGTACAAGTTAGAGAAGGGAAGAGGTGAGTAAAGATTTGGTTTTTGAAGAATGTTTAAGACTTAAGTAAAGAGGGCCTCCCTGGTGGCGCAGGCAGTTGAGCGCCGCACTGTGAATCTGTCTGCAGCCTCTGCAGTGCGGGTTTGATCCTGGCCAGCCGGCGAGAAACCCACTTGGCGCAGCAGCCCTCTCCTGTCTCGCCCACTGCTCCCCTCAGCAGTGTATTTCTTCAGTCTGCCTGTTCTGTTCCCCGCTCTGTCTCCAGTGAATCTTCTCACCCTCCTGCGCATCTGACCTATACTCAGTTCTTGTATAAAAATAAATAAATCTTAAAAAAAAAAAGTAAAGAACAGAATAAAGATATATTCTAAATGATAGCAAACATATCAAAATAGATTTGGAGGCCAAAGTAAACAATTTTTAAAAATATTTATGTATTTGATAAAGTCATAGCCAGACAGACACATAAGCTGTGGATAAAAATCAAGCCCAGCAAAAGCTGGTACCAGAATATTAAGCAAATATAATATATTTATGTATAAATTATTTTATGAAAATTAAAATGATGACAAATAAAAATTCTTATAAAAGATAAAGATGCATACCCCAATAGAAAAAAAAAAAAACAAAGTATTTTAGCAGAAAAAACAAAATAGAAAATACAAATGGCCAGTAAGCATATCTCAAAATAGCAGCCTCAGTAAAATCAAGGCAATATAAATGTAAGTAATAAATTGCAAGTTTTCCTGCTGGCACTGGAACAAAAACAGACACACAGACCAATGGAATTGAATAGAAAATCCAGAAATAAACCCACAGATTTACGGACAACTAATCTTTGACAAAGGAGCAAATAATATGCAATGGAACAAAGAAAGTTTGTTCAATAAATGGTATTGGGAAAACTGGGCTGCTACATGCAAAAGAATGAAGCTAGACCATTACCTCTCACCATGCACAAAAACCAACTCAAAATGGATTAAAGAACTAGACATAAGACCTGAAACCCTAAAATACATAGAAGAAAATATAGGCAAAACACTACATGACATACACCTCAGTAACATCTTCAAAGACACATCACCCAAAGCAAAGATAATGAAGGTAAAGATTAAATAGCTGAGACTACATCAAATTGAAGAGCTTCTGTACAGCAAAAGAGACATTAACCAAAACGAAGAGACATCCTACTGATTGGGAGAAAAATTTTGCACACAGTACTATTGATAAGGGGCTAATCACAAAGAGCTACAAAGAGCTGACTAAACACAACAAAAACAAAGTTAACAACCCAGTCATAAAATGGGCACAGGAGCTAAAAAGACACTTCTCCAAAGAGGAAATGCAAGTGGCCAAAAGGCATATGAAAAAATGTTCAACATCATTTATAATTAGGGCAATGCAAATCAGAACCATTAGGAGATACCATCTTACACCAGTGAGAATGGCACATATTAAAAAAAAAAAAACTAGCGACAACAAATGTTGGCAAGGTTGTAGAGAAAAAGGAACTCTCCTATACTGCTGGTGGGAATGCAAATTGGTCCAACCACTAGGGAAAGCTGTGTGGAGGTTCCTCAAACTGTTAAAAATGGAGCTTCCATATGATCCAGCAATTACTCTTTGGAATCTACCCAAAGGACACAAAACCATTAATTCAGAAGGATACCTGCACCCTTATGTTTATTGCAACACTATTTACAATAGGTAAGCTATGGAAACAACCCACGTGCCCAAAAATAGATGACTGGATCAAGAAGATATTGTATATATGCACAATAGACTATTACTCAGCAATCAGAAACGATAAACTCATGCCATTTGCAGCAACATGGATAGAGCTGGAAGGGATGATGCTCAGTGAAATAAGCCAGAAAGAAAAAGAAAAATACCAAATGATTTCACTTACAGAAGGGATGTAGGGGATCCAAATAAGGAATCAGGACAAAAAAAGTAATTATAATAAAGTAAAAATCAAAATCGGCAGGCAACTATAAACCAGAGACAGTCTATAAGGAGGGAGGTGGGAGTAGGCTCAAAGCAGGGGTGGGAAGAGCACAAGGGACTGTGGTGACGGTACACAGGTGAATTGGTGGAGGGAATTTCACGGGGACTACACCCAAGATGATAAAACATACATTGTATACAAATGGGGAATGATGTAAAAATATATAAAATAATAAAAGACTGAAAAAAATAAATTACAAGTTTTCTCTTAAGAGTTTACCAATGACTAAAAAAAAACATGAATATTGAGAAACAGACACTTAGACTGGTGAAGAGTTTAAAGTCTTATGGCAGTGTGGCAATAAATCAGGAGCCTTAAAAATAAAACACAAGTTTCCAATAGAGTGGTGGTTCTTCTAGGAGCTCATCCTAAGGAAATCATTAGAAAAGTTGAATGTAAAGGTTCATCCAACTTCATATTCTAGAAAGATTGGAAACACCCTGAAAGATAGTGTGGCTGTATTAACATAGAAATCAGACAAAGGAAATAATGACTCATGATGCAATTACTAGAAGAGTGAATATTGGGGAATATCTGTGTATATACCTGTGTACACATGAGGAAGTTGAGAAGGCATATTGTTAATCATTTGTAATTTTGGATGGTTGGACAACTGGTGATGACCTTAATTTTCTCTTTTTTTGCTAATCAATGCAATGAGCACTTATTATTTTTTAAAGAATAATAGAGCTTGAGAATTAAGGGACAGTGGTTTACAATATTCATTAAGAATGCATTTTCTCTATACCTTAAGGAGGCTATGTGATCTTGTATTAGGTTCTAGAACCTACAGACATTTGGCTTGAAAAGATCCCCACATACCCCAACTTGCAACTCTTAAAGACTTGTACATTTGTATAGTTGATAAGCATAGGACATGGTTATAAAAGCATGGTTTTATAATAGTGACAGGCAGCCAGTTTGTATTCATCAATAATAACTTTGATTTAGAACTTCAGAAGCTTTTTGAAGAATCTGATTATTAGAGGTTTTCATTTTCTTGATCATTGTATTTAACTTATCCTTCCATTTGTTCTGTTTAGAGTCTATCATAATGAATGGATCCAGTGTAGCAAGTACATCACCAAATGTAAAATCCAAAGAGGACCAGGGGTTAAATGGGCATGATGAAAAAGAGAATCCATTTGCAGAATACATGTGGATGGAGAATGAAGAGGATTTCAACAGACAGGTAAATAAAAGTGGAAAGCTAATGATAATGTAACTCAACAGTTATAACATTTTATTGACAGTCTTAACAAAAGGAAAGAGTTCATTGACTTTAGAATAACTTAAAAATACACAGGTCTGGTCTGGGCTGACCAAGAAGTATCTTCGGTTGGTAAGAAACCAGAGTGACAGTAGCTTGGAAGAAGATACTGGTATTTTTTCACCTTGTTGATTAAAAGAGATTCTAAAGCCATGGTAATCTGGTGGAGACTTCTGGGAAACAGCAGCTGTGTGGAGACAGGCCAGCCTGGCATGTCCCAAATAGTAACTAGGACTGGCAAGAGTATGAGTCTGAGACAGAGAAGTGACTTATGTGTAGGGGAAAGCTAGACTGCTTCCACAGAGATCCAGCCATAATTCGTAGCCTTATATCTTGTTAACAAATCTGGGTAAGCACTCCAAGGATTCTTTGACTTCATGGTCCCTTCTGTGGTGTTGCTCCGCCACCTTCCCAGCATTATCAGCTGAATAACTGAAGGCTGACTGGAAGCCTGGTAGTTGCGAAAGGGAGAGAGCCAAAGGCAGCCAACACAGGGGTCTCTCTTAACTACGCCATACAAAAGTGTTCACATCCCTTTGGGGAATGTTATGTAAATGAATACATGGCCAGCATGGGAGGTGGGAAATATGATTTTAACTGTGCAGCCTGGTCTTCTGAAAAGAAGGAAACAAGTTTAGGGGACCAGCCAGCAGTTTCTCACTGTGTCATGATCTGTGAGAATGGCACATAGATAATGCTTCTTGTCACGGCCCTGTGTCCAGGTCACCATTTAATAAGAGGGAGGATGCTGTTATGTTCCTGGGAGAAGTTAGGGTGAGATCTTGAGTAATCATGTTAAATCTTATAGGTTGGAAATAATTTTGTTGTTATTTTAAGTCCTTCATAACTGTTAATTTACTTGAGATTTTTAAAAATGTGGCTAATTGTGATCCTGAAATACTCTGGTTTTTATTTGAAGTCTTGCTGCCAATGACTTTTCTTATGAATTAATGAGGTTGACTAATTTGGTTGGTTTCTATTTTGCTTGACTTCTCCTCTATTGATGCCACTAGTAAGCTGTTAATTTGTCACCAGTTGCAGGAAAGGAATGGTCAAACGTGAAACAGGAGACTTGTTAAAATCCACTAGATCTGCAGCGAGAACCATATTTTTTACTAAGAGTTAACAATATCTGCAAAAGGGTAGAAAAGAATATATACATATATAGCCTTAGTTTAGGGCAATCTAAGTAGTAGGAATTATTTAAATATTCATTTCTTCTTGTTTGGAAAGGATACTGTATTGATGATTTTCTAGTGGTGTGCCAAAACACGTTAACTGTGTCTTTCTAAGGTTCTGAAAGTATTTTTCACCCTTAGGAGACCTTCTTGCGAGAAAAGTGGGCCACAAACTAAGTTGGTTTTGATTTAATCTCCACTGTCAAAGTAGTAGTCTAGTTACTTGTACTTGTAAAACGGAAAATTTAAGAAGAGTTCCTTCTTAAGATTGAGAAGTGAATTCAAGCTCAGAAGTGATTTTCTGTGCCATATGAATGGAAAATATTTGTTACATATTAGAAATCTTAAAAGAGCTGTGAAACTTGGAATTACTGCTGTTTTGAATTTAACTGTTTCCTCAGTCTTACTGTTGATGGAACTTGGTAGAAAAAATGTTTTCTCTAGCAAGTCATCAGAAACATCTTAATTCTTAGTATATTTCATTCTTAATTGCAGAGTAGCAACCTCTGAGAAAGGAGGTGGTGAAAAACTAGAAGGGTGAGTCCCATGGGAACAGTGAGTCTGAGCTCCTTCCCCTTGCTTATAGGTGGAGGAGGAGCTGCAGGAGCAAGACTTTTTGGACCGCTGCTTCCAGGAGATGCTGGATGAAGAAGACCAAGACTGGTTTATTCCTTCACGGGACCTGCCTCAGGCCATGGGACAGTTGCAACAACAGTTAAATGGACTGTCAGTCAACGATGCTCATGATTCTGAAGATATTTTGGTAAGAGCAATATGTATTTAGTTCCACTTATGACGTAGAGAAAAAGATACAGGATTTGGAATCACAGACTTTCTTTGTGACCCTACAACTCAGGGCAAGTGTCTAGAGCCCTCTGAGCCACTGTTTCTTGGGCATTAATGAGAAGTGGTTGAAGCTGTAGCACACCTCCTAAAGCACTGGAAACATTACTGCAGCATCACCAGCTTTCATTTGCTCGGTGGGCTTTTCAAAGTAGAATTGGGATAAGGGTAAAAATTTGAACACAGAAGAGTTTTGGTTTTAACTTATCATTTTCTTATACTGTCCCTGAAACCTGTCTTTATGGTACTGAATGACGAGGTTATAAAAATTTCCTGCCATTTTGGAAGGCATACACTCCTAAGAGGCCATTTTCCACTTATAATTAGAGGACCTAATAAATGAATTGCCTGCCTTCTACGTTTACTTATGTTAGAATGCTGTGGCTGATACAGTTCTCACACAACTTGTGTTCTGACTGATTGTGCCCTGCAGTTTGCCAAGGTTTTGAGTACTCACATGGGAATTAGGTAACAAAGAAAGTACAGAAAGATTTTTAAAAATAACAAAAGGATTATGGTAAGCAAACTTAGTTGATGGAATACGCTGATTTTCATTGAGTTAAGATACTCATTGAGTTGAGAAACTCTTTTTGGAGTTGAACTTACAAGCCTTTAATGAAAGCATCTTGAAGGTACAGGAATCTCAAAGCAGAAAGGAGAAAATGGGGTTGCTTAGGGCTTAGTATGTCAAGACCCATTGAGAACAGCCCAGCAATAACAGCCTGAGTTGCAAAGAATTCTTTTTTTTCTCTTCTTGAGGCTAAGAGGAAGGTACTGGGAATAATGGAAGCAGAGAGAAAATAAGCTTTCAAGTGCATTGCCTTGTCATTTATTATCTCTTGATTTTTATTTCAGAGCAAAAGTAACCTGAACCCGGATGCCAAGGAATTTATTCCCGGAGTCAAGTACTGAGCTGACAGAAAGCTCTGAGCAGGACTTGTCTGTCCCCACATCTGGGGACAGTGCTGCACAAAAAGGCAGAGCTAAGGAGGGGGGGTGGGCGGGCAAGGGGTGCACAGCTGGGAAGGGGAACAGTGGTTTAACTTGACACTGTGACTAGAGGAACTAATGTGCTCAATCTCACTCTACACACCTCTCTCTGAGTAGTTCTCTTTTGTTCTACTGACTTTCATTTGAAGCAGTTTCTTATTACTATTATTGTTGGCAGCCATATTTTTTCCCCTTCATCAGAAATGTTCTGCTGTGTGCGTATTTAAAAAAAGTAAGTTGACCAAGAAAATCTGGGTGCTTAAGAAATGCCCTGTTCACCCTGCTGTATACTTACCAAGGACAGTGAGCACCCAGAGATCTACTTAGCGAGTTTGTTAAGCCAGATGGGAAAAGAGACAAGTGGAAGAAGCAGGTGTTGCAAACCAGAGTATGCTGCTCAGCTCCCCTGGCCCCTGGGGGTTCCTGGCAATGAAGCGGGATTACTGATGACCTGCTGGTAATTTCCAGGGAGACTACATCTCCCTGCTCTGAACCCCATTCAAGAAGCACAGATGTAAAGAACTAGTAAGAACTAGTAAGAACTACTCTTACTCTTTTAACGGTTCATGAAAGTTGTAAATCAGAAAGGAAGGGCTATACAGGGTAAGTCACTCAGTTGCTGTTGGCCTGTTCCTAAGCCTCTCTTGACAGCTACCATTGAACTCATCATCTGCAAGGTAAAAAAACAGGATTGATTTGCCGCTTCATCCCTTATGGTACCTAGTTCCCTGTTGCCTTCCCACCCCAACCCTCCCTGTTTTTAAAAAAAGATATTGTTACCAAAGGCACATGAGAGGCATGCCATGCCTGCCATCAGCTTGAGCCTGGAGAAGTCTTCCTTGAATGTTTATCGTTGTTTGTTGTATTTTACATTTTTTTTGACACTTTTTTCCCCAGCTCCATGAACATTCGGTCCATCAGATATATTAATTCCCATAAAAAGGTTTATGCACCTTTACAAGTAAATCTAATTTTTGGGACACTAGCAAGAAGCTCAGTTCACAACTTGGAAGCTTCTCCGAACCTCACAGAATGATGTAAAAGAACTTCAAAGAAGCCTAGGCAAATGAGTCCCACTAAACTCGGGAGACTCTGTGACCCACTGGAATAGCTTTAGCCATGAGAGAATCTTGCCATTCTCATACACCCAGCTCTGCAGATTTGCTTGGTTCCTCTCTGGGTGCATTTCTTTTGTCTTTCCTGCCTGTAAGTCACAGGATTTTGTTAATACTCGTGAGGAACTACATTGCGCATAGGAGCTGTGATAGAGATGTAGGTGGCAGAGTCAGGTTGTAAGGAGAGCATGTCCAGTCCTGACCATTCTCCCAGGACCAAGACTTGCAGGAGCCTAAGGAGGACATGACTTCTGGGTGATTGCTATTGTCTTATGTGGTAGGCCTATCAGGAAAAGATTGTGTAATTTGAAATAAAGTCTGTTTGTATATTCAGTATGTGGATGTGGGACAGAGGTTGGAAGGAAAGGACTAGGGTCAGGAAAGCTGAAAAATTTTTCCCTTTTCTCATGAGTTCCCTTGTTAACTTTTTGAACAGGCACACACTAATGTCAGATTTAAAACCCACGTCTTTTCTTTGTTTGAGTCTATAGGATGGCGTCATTTGGGAAAAAAAAAAAAAACGGCCTTCTACATTAGTTTGCCCGTCATTAGAGTCACTTAGGGAGCTTGTATTGCCGGATGTGCACGTTCATTCCTGAAGCCTCTACCTCAAGTGACTAGAACTCTTAACTCGTTTTTTAGGGAAGGCTATGAATTAAAAAAAACTTCATTATTCCAGCTTCAGCTGGGGTTATTGCGTCTGAAAAAGGCAGGGCCTGGTTAGAAGATAGCAGTCCCCTCTTCTGGGGCTGCTTTTCCTCTTCGGTCTCCATTAGCCTGTACGAGCTCAGAATTCTGAAGGTTGTTGGAAATGTGTTGGGTTTGCATAAGGAGTCATTTTTTACACCATGCATGAGTGTCTCTATCACAAGTACAATGGCTCCTGGTCTGGAAAGTCCTACTGGATCCAGATCAAGTCATTTCTTCATCCTGAAGAAAGCTTGCTCTTCTGACGCATGAACAGGCCCAGATGCTCAATGTGGTCACAGGGGCCTGTACTGCCATTTCCTGTGCAGTTGGTTCCATTTTGGATGTCAGTCTTCAGCATGGTTACAAGGCTTATTTGGTCAGGACTAGGACATCTTCCTGCCCAATGAGCAGTAGAACCTGAGGGCTAGACTTACTAGTCCTATTCAGATCCAATGTGTGCCGACTCCAGGATCAGGAAGCAGCTAACCATATTTTTAACATATAGTCTTGTGGTTCTCATGGTTCCTCTTGTAACTCAGCTCTTTTCTCCATCTATTTTATGTTGTGAGGAGGGAGCACAGTTGTCATGTAGATCACGGGCTATAGTTAGAGCTTAGAAACTTCTCAGCAGAAATGCCCGTTTTCTTGTTGGAGCTTCACTAGGGAAAGGCTGGGAGCCTCTCTCAGACTTCTTCATTGGAGAGGTTCTGGGTATAGGTCAGTGTAGCCACGTTTAACCCTTTAATGGTGATGCTGGTATTTAAAAACGACTAATTAATTTGATGTTGAATTTTAAGCCACTACTCCGTTCAAACTTTTTTTTTTGTGATAAAGTTTAAGAATTTGTATGGAAATAGAGTATGTATTTTTAACAGTTGTCATTTCTGGCTGGTTCCAGTATTAGTTTAATAGTGATTGACTTCTGATTTTTGCGGTTGACTCTAAAACTCCAAGGTGAAAGTTATTTTCTCTCTTGTTCTTTAGGGGGGAGGAGATATCAAGGAAATGCAATTTCAGTTTCACTAGGCTTTGAACTATAGCTGAAAATTTGATGGACGCAGCCTAGGCCTAAGCATATGTAGCTTTGGGTCTTTGGGACAATTTCTGACGGCAGTAGTTGACTTTTGAGGATCACGTAAGGTCAAAACAAAATAAGGCTGGACCTTTGCAGCATCTTTAGTTTCCAAAGTCAGAACAGCTGGGGTCTCTATAATGAGGGGATCTCTATGATGTTAACTATGGCTTTTAAAATGTTTTAGTGAAATACTAAGCGACAATTTTTTAATTGTATATTGCTATGTCAAAGTTTTGTCTTGATTGTGGAGGCTGGATGGAAGTCAGTTGAATAGTCTGGCAATTTACATATGCCAGAGAGGAAAGTTGTGTGAAGCAGCAGCCAAAGAACCCAGCTTAACTGAATGTTTTTTTGTCAGTGCTGCTGCAAACCCCATGTGAAAACATTGGGGACCCAGCAATCTTACTCTACTGTGGTGGGAGTGTTCTTTGATGGGTCCCAACATATGTGGATGAGGTATGGAAACAGGCAGAAATCTAATTTGCCCATGATTTGGAGATGTCCATCTATTGGGAAAGCCACTCTCCACAGCTATAATATAAACCTCATTAGTTTGGGTGGAGAGAACAGGATTGACCCAGGTCTGGTATGCATCAGAAACCTTGATGTCCTGCCTCTCCTACAGTCCCACATGACTCATACCCCCACCCCATTGTCCAACCCCTGGTGTATTTTGCAGCCAACTCTCTGCTACCTTGTGAATTTCATCCACAGACTTGGTTAGTCACAATTTGAGAGTTTTTTCCACCCCTTTATTTTTAATCTTCTATCTTTATTTCTCCCTTCTTGAAGCTGCAACTGGTGACAAAGGGATTAAAGAGCAGCAGACCAACCCAAGAGACACTCAAGTTTCCTGCTGGCTTCCTGGCTATCTCCTGCCCTCACCACCCAACCTCCCTCCTACCCCACCCCCCCTTAATCTAGTTTTTTTAGAGGGCATAGGAATAGGACAGCTAAGTACACTGATTCCTACAGAGTACAGCTAAGAGATCCACCACTACTTCCCCAGGGGACGGAAAGCAATCTGCAAAGGAAGGAAAGTTAAAAGCACCATCTTTATTCCAAAAGAAAGCGCCCTCTTAGGTTTTGTTGTTAAGAGGAGTCTCATTTGTGAGGTTTGTTTGAGCTTTCTTTCCCAATCCTATCTTCTTCCGGGCCACTTTTTATTAAAAAATAAGGAAACATCCTAGGATATTTAATTTTGCAGAAAAATAGACCTGAAATAGTAAAACATTTTTCACTGTTTACTATTAAATGGTACAATGTTTTCACTCTACAGCTTAACAGTAAGTGATAATCCTGTCCTACTGAGTCTGAGTCTTCAGGAATATTTAATGCTGGATGGTGGTTTGGAAGCAGAAGTCTTTTTTCTTTTAAACTTTATTGAGGCATATTTTACATATCATAAAATTTACAGTGATTTTAGTAACTTTCCTGAGTGGCACAGCCATAACCATAACCCAGTTACAGATCTTTTCACCTCCTGCCCCCCCAGTATCTTTCATGCCTATTTACATTGTTTCCAGCGCTAGGCAGCTACTAATTTTTTGGTCTCTAAATTTGCCTCTTTTGGATATACAGTATCAATGCAATCACATAATGTGTGGTCTTGTCTGTTTTTTTCACTGAGGCTATTTCTGAGGTTCACCAGTGGCATAATTTATGCTGGTATTTTGTTCCGTTCTGCTAAATATTATTCCACTGATGGACATACCACATTTTGTCTGCCGGGTGTCTTTCAAACTCCTGTGGTCTGAATGGCAGAACACAGGAGTCATAGGTGAAGCTACTGTGCATGTCAGAGGCACTGCTTCTCGGAGCCAGCTTTGCCATCAGAAGGTCCATGTGAGTAGTCTGAATTGAGGCCGAAATACTGTTTTGCAACTTCTTCTTGAGAAGGAACTTTTGTGCTGTCTACACATCAGGACTTATCAAGCATCTGATAAAAAGTACAAGCACGTGTTTGAGTGAACAAGAAAGTGAAACCATCAATACTATGTTGGATATGTTTTCCTACATGAATAGAAGGGGAAATATCTGAACTTTCTAAATACAGTATCATCTCCTACAAAGCTGAGCATGTATTAAAGATGGGGCTGTCTTTGTTGGAAGGGGCACAGCCAGCAGAGGAAGTCAAGAGAAGAAAGGGAATGGAGCTTGTGAAAATCAAGATCCCCCTGAGGGTCTTGCATGGCTCACCTCGTGTTGGTGTAGATGAAGTGCTGGTGGTGCCCAGGGGTGGCTTAGTACCTCCAGCAGGCCCAGGTCTTGAATTTGGACATTTATCCCAGTTTCACAAGTGTTTAAAACCTGTTTTTGTTCTTTTTTCCCTCTTAAACATTAGATGGTAGTTAACACTTCTTTGGGTGGGGGTGCAGGGGCAGGGCTTTAAAATTAAAATAATTTTCATAAAAATAAAAAATGGAAAAAAGTACTTTTTAAAAAATTTGCTATACAAATCAAATGGCAGCTGTTGAAAATCTCAATAAAATAAGAATAAAATGCATTTGCGGGCGTTGGTACCATTTTTCCTAAGACTGGGTCATTGTATATCATACTACAAGGGGGTATGTGTGGTGTGTGAGATTGTCTCAAGGTGGATCATCATTTTAGGTACATAATTTTCCACACTAAATAGTATTACAAAATAATAACATTGGCTTGGCAGTCCTGAGTCAATCCCACCTCTACCTTTGTGCCTTCACCCTAAACCACAATTTGTAAAGGTGTGACAACTCCCCTCTGGGGCTATTGTGGAAATCAGATGTAATTCAAATCTAATCTTAAGGATTAAATTTAATTTCAAAATACTGCCTGGCACATAATGTGCACTTAATATATGGTAGCAATAGTGGTGGCAGTGTGTACAGCTTTGAACAGTGGTTCATAATTTATACTTGGGCATAAAGGGAAATTGAGAAAGTTGTTTTTTTTCCTGTTTCTGGGCAAAATGACTTATATCTAGAAAACAAGGATTCTGTATTTGCCTTTCAGAACTGACTAGAACATGCTACATCCCAAGACTGGCTTAGGCACCCGGGGCTCCTGGATTACTAAGTAGGTGTTGTCCCTGCTCAAGACTAGTTTTGTAATTCCCATTTAATTTATTATCTAGCTCAAATCTCCCAATGATTGTTTGAGGGGCTTTATCATATGGTAAAAATATCATGGCCAGACCAAGGCCTGTAAGAATGCTGAGTGCTATCATTTTTGCTTCCTTTCTGAAACCAGGAAAAAAGGAAGTCTGAGCTTTCTTACCTATGTAGAGCTTCCTGAGACACCATAGTTATGTGTATATAGGGCCGGAACTATTGAGTGTAACAGCCTTGAAAATGGAATGGTATATTCACTCATTAAAATTCATTAAATTTATTTGCTGTAGTAAGTACAGAAAAGCATGTGTTGTAAATGTGCAGTTCCATAAATTTTCACTATCTTTCAGTTGGTATAGTGTTAGCAAGTACTTATTTTTAATCCTTAGAAAACCCATCATAGCTAAAAGACATCTAGAAATGTTTGCTGAATGAATGGTACCAATGAGGCTGAGCTGTCATGAGTCTAGAACTTGTTTCAAGCTCTCCTGCCTTGTCAGAAGGCTGCCATAGGCTCAGATGAAATACATACACCTCCAATACCTGGTAGTTCAGAATCCCATTAACTGCTCCTGGTACCTTAATTGAGAAGCAGCTAAGTTTAAAATTAAAGGGGAAGAAACATCAAAACTCTCTTTGACATTTTACATGGCAACCTCTGTAATAAAAGCCTTGCTGAGAGTAAGCCACTTCATCACATCTTTGGCTAAAGGAATGAGGAATACATCTTGACCTTGTCACTTTTGATACTGCCTTCATTTTTTCCAACCAGCATTTAACACTTATGTGCTAGAACTAAAACCATCTAGATGGGCTCCTTGCTCTGCTCTAAATAAAACGGCCAACTGTCCAATAGAAATAGACGACTGGGAAGAGTGACGACTATATCCTGAGGAACATAAGTGGGTTACTATAAACTCACCAATAAAATTTTAGTTTCTAATTCCAAACTACTCCCTGATCCTGGTCTTAAAATCACATTAAGTAAACCTCCACAGCTCACTGCTCATTAATAACTTATCACTACTATAGGATACACCAAGGGCACCTCTGATTGTTCCTGTTCTCTCCAAATTTTTTACCAGGTGATGGTAAGACTTGCTGAGGTGGGTCTGTGGCTGGCACCGTACTGGCATGTGAAGAGGATTGGCTGTCCCTGTGAAGGCTTGAGTTCTTACAGCTCAAAGCTCCAGCTTACTGTACTGGTCTAGGGCTGATGAGATCGAAGCCACTGCTATTCTATTCCATATGAACACTACACTGAAAGAACAGTGTAATCTGATTTAGAAAACAAGCATCGAAGGTCCCCTTCGAGGGCCTGATCAAAATGCAAAAGCTGTAGGGTAAAGCTGCCTCAAGGGCAGGTTGGGCCTCTGCAGCAGAAGCTACCCAAAGTGTTTAGCAGAAATGAAAATTCCCATTTCATCCCTAACCTATCGACTCAGGACACCTTCATGGAGGGGAAGAATACAGATACCTGAGTTTAAAAGCACTAGAACAGCTGATGTTCAGGACATGCTCTAATTCTCCAAAAAGCTTCCACTCTGAACACCTGTAGATGTAGCCACTCTGGATCCAGACTGTTCTCAGCCTCCACCAAGCAGCATGGGCAGCACAGGCAGCAGCTGTGGGTTTGTCTTTAGGGATCATACAGATCAATATCCAGAAGACAGGAATCAAGTGTCACACTGTAACCAGAGCCAGGCTAGTACTTGCAGGAATAGAGACCATCTAGGTGTGTCTAGCTGGCCCTGGATCTCAGCCATTCTCATAATTTGTCAAGAACTCATTCACATATAAAACTACTAATAAATACGCTCTTTACCTATACGTTTACCATATCCAGTAGGGTAAAACTTCTAGATTAGAATTGTACCTGTCCTCTAAATCCTACTGGGACAATCAGTAGACAGTGCAGTATATCTAAAGCTACTCCCAGTTACTTTTTACACTTAGTTCCACTAGAATGGTGGAGTAGGGATCATGATCCGCTTTGACAGGAGAAAATCAGTCACAGGTTAACTAGCAGCTGCACAGCATGTAATTATGCTATTCTGGGGGGTGCACACAGATCAATTATTTGCCCAAATCCATGGTGAGCATACTAGACCACAGGCCAAACACCTTGGGCTAAGACCATTCCTGAGCCCTCTGGTATACCTGCTGGCAGGTACACTAAGGGTGCAAGTGTGCTTGATAACACAATCCAACTGGGGAGTGAGTAAAGTGCATTTATTTTTTTTCTCTGTGGTTTTCTTTTTAAAAAAAAAAAAAGGTAAGGGGGACATAAAACACCTCCTCCCAGCAACCAATGTCCACTGGCCTTGGATGGGGCAGAGCCATGGCCAGCCTCCTAGGAGAAGGTATAAGAGTAGAAGGCAATGGCATTGACACTGTAGTCCATGGGCAGGAGGTGCCCAATGTGCTTGGCACCTAGGCTGGCCCCACCCAAGGCGGAGGAGTGGCACAGCTTCATCAGAGTGAAGCTAGAGAAGGAGTTTTGAGCCTGGATCTCTCTTCCCTGGGTCAGTGCCAAAAGAAAACCTGGAGGAAAAAAAACACAAAGGAGAGATATGAGAGGGATCCAGTAGCCTGCTGTTGAGATCAGGGTGAAGGTGGGACAAAGAGGGAGGGAGGAAGAGGCTAGGCCCTGAGGCATTGCTGTGGAAGTTCTAGCAGGGGTCACACTCCAAATCCCCAACCTACTGCCCAGGTACCTGAGCTGAGTAACAGCTGTAGGGTGCTAGAGCCAGCAGCCCCTGAGCACCCGATATCAGGAGCTGCAAGTAGCAATAGGGGTCCTTGAGCTACTTCGGAAAGTCAAATGGAAATCACACAGCTGCCTGAAACAAGGCTGCAAGGGGAATGGCAACACATTTCTTTCCTTCTGCACAGGATTGTGCTGACTAGCACTATCACCATATGTGGCCAGAAGCTCCGATTTTAAGTTAGTCTTTAATTTTAAAAAGTGGTGCTATTTAATAAATCCTTTGGAAAAGGACATTTCCCAAGAGTTCAAGGAAGCTATATGGGACACTGTTAAAGGACACCTGGTGAGGCAAAGTTTTAAGAGCCTTGGCCAGAGCCATGTGTGACCTCAGGGCCCAGTTCCCAAGTTCTCCCTGGGGCAGGCAGTTATTGGGGTCATCGCATCCCTTGTCTTTTTCCCTTGCCTATCTCCACCTCTCCCCTAACCCACACTCACCTTCCTTTAGCAACTCCCAGCTCTTCCATACAGAGCCCACACACAGTATAGGGAGGCCAGTCACCCCTTGGAACAAGACCTGGGTAGAAAGCAGAAATGTATATTGGAGATAAGTAAGTCTCCCACACTAAGCACTTGATCTTAGCCAAAAGGCCGAGAAGCGATAAGCAGATAGTTTCTTTTTTTTTTTTAAAGATTTATTTATTTTTATTTATTTATTTTATTTATTTATACAAGCACTGGGTACAGTCAGAAGCGTGGGAGGGTGAGAGAATTCACCAGAGCCAGAGTGGGGAGCAGAGCAGGCAGAAGGAGCGAAGTACACGGCTGAGGGGAGCAGCAGGCGGCAGGAGAGGTCTGCGCGCCATGTGGGACCCTCCTCCGGTGGCCGGGGAGCTGCTGGGGATTGAACCGGCGCTGCAGAGGCTGCGGGCAGCTTCGCAACCCAGCACTCAACCACTGCGCCACCGGGGAGGCCCAGCAGATAGTTTCTTAAGGCCAGCCCAACCTATGCCAGTTCCTCCTGCCCTAGCCAAGAACCAACCAGAAGGTGAACTCAAGAATAAAAGGAAGGAGGGCCTCCCTGGTGACACGGGTTAAGATGCAACCTATGAAGCTATCCGCAGTCACTGCAGCACAAGTTCGATCCCCCAGCCGGCCAGGGAGCAACCCACATGGTGCAGCAGACCTCTACTGACTTGCCCGCTGCTCCTCTCAGCAGTGTACTTTGGTCAATCTGCCTGTTCTGGTCCCCACTCTGGTGAATCCTCTCACCCCCCACACCTCTGGCCTGTACCCCAGCTCTTGTATGCCTAAATAAATAAATCTTAAAAAAAAAAAAAAAGGAAATTAAGGAGATTCATAAAGGCAAAGGAGAAATGGGAAAGAAAAAGGGTTAATTAAGCAGCCATACAGAGAAAAGAGAGGAGGGAAATGAACAGAAACATGAGTAAAAGAAAGGGGACTTGCACCATACTGAACCAAGTTTAAATAAATAACATACATAACAGGGCCTCCCTGGTGGCACAAGGGGTTAAGCACCGCACTATGAAGCAATCCAAAGCCTCTGCAGCAGGAGTTTGATTCCGGGCCTGCCGGGGAGCAACCCACATGGCGAAGCAGACCTTTTCTGTCTCGCCCGCTGCTCCCCTCAGCAGTGTATTTCAGTTAGTCTGCCTGTTCTGTTCCCCACTCTGTCTCTGGTGAATCCTCCCACTTCCCAGACCTCTGGCCTGTGCCCCAGCTCTTGTATACATAAATAAATAAATATTTTTAAAAAATAGCATACATAACATAACAAATTCATTTGCTAATCAATTCGCAGAAGGCCCTGGGTCAAAGACCACTGTGTGGTATACTTGCTACAGAATGTTGGCTCATACCCTAAGTTCATTTAAAACAGTACCAAGGGCCTCCCCTGGTGGCGCAGTGGTTGAGCGCTGGGCTGCGAAGCTGCCCACAGCCTCTGCAGTGCCGGTTCAATCCCCGTCCCACCTGGCACACAGACCTCTCCTGCCACGCCCACTGCTCCCCTCAGCAGTATATTTTGGTCATTCTGCCTGCTCTGCTCTCCACTCTGATTCTGGTGAATTCACTCACCCTCCCACGCTTCTGACTGTACCCATTGCTTGTATAAATAAATTAATTAAAACAGTACCCAATTTGCAGTTTGATGGGACAGTCTCATCCCTAATGGAAAGGGCCAGATCTCAACTTACCGGGTCAATCTCTGGCAACACTGCCACAATGTGTCTGCCCAACATCTCGCCCGCCTTCCTGAAGATGTACCGGGAAAGGGGATCTCCCTGCTGAGCAGCTGCAATAGGGAGGATGGAAGGGCACTGGTGAATACCCAGCAAGCATCCAGGCCTCAGTTATTCACTGTGCATGCATGTGTGCATACACGTATATCTCAGCAACAGCAGGAGTACCTACAGCTGACAGAGGTCTGACTCAGGAGTGGATACCCACTCACAGTATGTGGGCAACCCAGCCTTCAATACTGTGTCTCCATCCTTAATTTCCCAGCACCACCAGGTACTTCTACCCTAGGAGAGTGGTCCTATATGGAGGTGGAGCATTCTAAGCACTTGAGAAGGGCTACCCCGAGAAATACACTGGCACCTGCTTTATATCCGAGTTTACTTTGAGTCACTGGGTCTTTCAGCTCTTGGGACCCAGGACCCTACTTGAGCAACTGGCTGGCACCTGTCAGGGCCCAACCTCTAGCAGTCTGTTATTGGTCAGTCCCTTCCTGGCTCTGCTCTCAAAGGGCTCAGTCTAGCAGGCTGTAAGAGGATCCTAGAATGCCGAGGCTGCAACAATCCAGATTAAGGGAGTAGAGACCACATAGTGGGGAAAAACAATGTGCAAACAAGCCATCCCTATGGTTGTTTCTCCTGACATCAACCAAATGTGCCTAACCGTTCTGTGATCCCCTAAGTATCACTGTTTTAAAAAAACAAAATTGATTTTCCCGAAGGACGGCTGCTTCATAAATTTCTCAGAAACTGACATACGGCCTACACAAGCCATGACAGTCAATAAGAAAAGAAACATAGGTAATATAAAATGAACAGCAATACCACCCACATTTCCTTCTGCCTCTACCCCATTGCCTGCAGGTCCCAAGGTCCACAGTAAGGGAGAACTGAGGTCACTTGGCCAAAGGGAAATTGGCTTCCAGTTCCTACCCACCAATTAGGGAGACCTCTGGGAACAAAGTCAGAGAAAACCCTGCCCCACCTCCAGTACCTTCTGCAATTTTCTGGCAAAATCCAGCAAACCTGCTTTTATCAAAATCCCTGTACAGGTAAGAGAGGATTCCTAACCGATCTGGCACCTAAGAGACAGAGAAAGGGGAAAAAGTAGTCATCAGAGCAAAGGTAGTCATCAGAGCAAAGTGAGCCACTTTGCTCACCTAAGTTGGCCTTCCTGGTGTCCCTCTACTGCTTGAAAAACTGTAATAATGTTTGCTTTTTTTAAGCTTGTAAGCAGTTTTTAAGAAGGCAGGATTTGAGATTTCTAATTTGAGAGAAGTTCTTTGTTTTCCCCAACGTGGACACCATTGTTCCTTACAGACTAGCATGAATGCAGATATGTGCTCACCAAGGTTTCTTTTGCAGTTCTTTGAGGTGCTCTTGAAAAGATTTCTTTAGCTAAAAGAACCCAAGGACTATTATTGCACATTGCAACTCTCCCTCACAGACACAATGCATATTACCAAATTAAAGGCCCCGAGAATTCTGGAACCAAGAAATCAGTTTCTCCCAAACTTGACCATAGAGTTCTTTCTTCTACCCCAACAAAAACCTGCACACTTGTAATACTTCTGAAGGTCCTAAGGAACCAATGATTCTCCAAAATGCATTACCATCAGGTTGTCAGAAAAGTCACGATATACTTTTTCTATGTATCTTCTGCAAAAATGTGTCATGACTTTCCCCACAGCCCAATAAAATGGAAGAGGGCTGGTTCAAAACACAAGCACCTCCAGCAAAGCATGAAGCGTGTTCCTCTCTCATTAAGTTTGGGTAAGGACTTTACACAAGGAACTATGGGATGGAAGAGAAAGTGGGTTATCAGTGCTGAGTCCAGCTAGCCTAACTCCACTTCCTACAGCAACTGCTTTAGCCAAGTGCTTTCTCTCTTGGTCCCTCCCTATTCTTCACCTTGGCCCAGGCCAGAGTTTCTTTAACCATCAATCCCTGAGCAGTCTCCCACTGTTCTATCCAGGTGTACGTGTTGACAGGGGCAGAGAAAGTACCTGGAAATAGTCAAACATGGCCTGTTTGACACAGCCAATGTCATGAGGAGCCGCCTCTAGGTTGTCGATGGAATCAAACACTATTTTCACTGCTTGGTGTGCAATCCAGTAAGCTGCAGAAAAGGATAAGCATATGGGGGGATTTCCCTGGTTCACAGGGAAGGAACCCAGATCTAGACCGAGGTAGTGATGTGCTTGGGTAGTACAGTAAATTAGTGTCCCAATTCCTAGCATAAAGTCTTCTAATTAAGCTGTAGTTAATCAAGCCAGCTCAGGGACAACTGAGGGAGAAGACAGACCAGGTAAGTCTATGTCACGTCAACTCCTATCTGAAAATAAGACAAGGTCAGTCACTTGTCACAAACCACTGAAGTCACTGCCATGAACTGGGCCCCAAAGATCCCTATGAAAATGTACCCCAGCTATCTCTAAAGAGTTGATGGAGGGCCTCCCTGGTGGCGCAGGGGTTAAAGACAGCACTATGAAGCTATCACCAGCCACTGCAGCATTAGTTCAATCCCCGGCAGGCCAGGGAGCTGAGCCATGTGGCGCAGCAGACCTCTCCTGTCTCCCCGCTGCTCCCCTCAGAAGTGTATTTCAGGCAGTCCACCTGTTCTGCTCCCCACTCTGTCTCTGGTGAATCCTCTCACTCCCCACACTTCTGGCCTACACCCCAGTTCTTATATGCATAAATAAATAAATCTTTAAAAAAGAAAAAATAAAGAGTTGATGGAGGCAGGATCTTCTACACCCCTTCCCACCAGCAGATGGTGTGGCATCTCTGGGTATCTATGGTTGTAAAGTTCTAATGTCAACTCCTCCCCAAGGACTTCAAAAGTCAATACAGGTCAGCAACAGCTATTATGCTGAGGTATTAACCTGAATCCTGGGTACAAATCACCACCAAAGAGCAAGGTCAGCGTTAATGCAGCACTTGCATCTCTGATCTCTCAGTTATCATCTTGTACTTAGAACATCTTCAGGAACTATTTCCAGAGCTATTTCCAAGTGTAGGTGGGAGAGCTAGGGAGAGGAAGATGGGAAGCTGCAGGAAGGGAAGGGTGCAGGACACTGAGACAGGCCCAGTCTCACCTGAGCCCTCGTCCCCTATCATGTGGCCCCAGCCGCCGCAGCCACTCTCAGAGCCATCGGGGTTGATGAGTCTGCAGTTGGAGCCTGTCCCAGAGATGAGCACGATCCCACCTGGGGAGAGGGCATGGGAGGCTCAGTGTGGCCAAGGCCCTGTCCCATGCAAACAGCTCCAAGTGAGAAAAGACAGAACAGCAGCCAGTCCCAGGCAAAGGGATCACCACCCAGTGTTGGAGAGAAAACTGAGTCCAGCTAGCCTCCTGCCTGAGGTGGAAGGCTTGGGTCTTAAAACTCCACTCACACAGAGCCCTTCCCTGGGGGCACAAAGAGGAACACAAGTCTGTCTCCTTGCTCAGTTAGCCTCCAAGTGACTACGTGCTTTGCTGAGTACCTACCGTGTGCCAGGAAAAGAGACCCTGTTCACAGAGGGTCATTCATTCATTACCCTAAACTACCTACTGCATACAATTACCCCCATTTTGCAGATGAGGCAATGAAAGAGTTCTACAACTTCTCCAAGATGGTACAGCTGACAAAACAGGAGCTGAGATTCAAATGTCAACCCTATGATACTAATAGCTACTTACATTATGGCAGAGCCCCACCCACTTTCTTCTCAGGAAATATTACTTTCCCACCAGCATTCCTCACCACAGCACTGCCCCAAGGGCTCTCTCTTCTGAAAGGGAACCTTACAAAATATCCTTCCTGCCCCCCTTTCTGTCCCTGCTCAGGTAGGGAATTAAGCAAATGAAAAGAGGGAGAGTGGATGTGATGCAGGCTGTCTTCCAAGACAAACATTTCTATTTGGAAGACAAATTCTGGCAGCTACATTTAAGGGGCTTCCCCAGGAGAAAGAGATCTCAACCTCAGCCCTCCCTCCACCTCCTCACCATCCGGCGTAGCTGTGGCGATGGAGCCGGCGGCATCAGTGGTGATAAAGTAGTTTTCACTCAGGAAGGGAAATCGGCCCCTCAGCTCCTCCAACAGGATCCTCACCGCATCCTCCTGCTCCCCACCGCTCAGGGATAGGCCCTAGGCCACGCGGGAAGTGAGCAAGTAAGCAGGGCACCAGACCCAGCTCCTTTCTCAACCCCCTTCCCTGCTGATGTCTTCTTCCTGATCTCTACATCTAGGCATGCCCTACTTCTCCAGTCCTCCTTCCACCCCACATGATGACAACCCCCCCACCAAGAAGGTTATGGCCACAAGAAGAAGCTGGGCTGGGAATGGACAGAAGGGATTCAATACTGCCAGGTTTGGAGCTTGGGAGGAAAGTAGCGCCATTAACAGAAAAAGCAGGCACAAAAGCAAGTGGAGGCAAGGCGCAGAGGTAAGTGGTCTGGCAGCGCCTGCAGAACCCCTCACTGAGGATGTCCCGGGAGCAGCAGAGGCTATAGCAGCCTTGAGTCTGAGCTGGGAACAGTATCTAATATTCAGTGAGTGCCTATGGGTCAAGCTTTGGGATGCTCACCTCTTTGGGATGTATGCTGTCATTTTCTCTAATTTCTAAATGAGGAAAATGAGGCTGAGAGAAGCAAACTGAGGCTTAGGGTCACAGAGATGTTGAGAGACAAAGTTGGAATTCAAACCAAAGTCTTAGTGGCTATCCAAAGCTCTGCACTCTTCCAATCCTGTGGTTTGTGACAAATGAAGCCATAAGAATGGATGAGATCACCTGAGCTTCTAGAACAGACAACCCTCAACACTTTTCCCTCTGTAGTCATCACACTCATCTAGTTCAAACTCACTGAGTGTTGCTGTGACTCAATTCCCAGATCTACCCCAGACTCACCAGGCTTCGGAGAGGTACCAGAAGATCCACCCCTGCTTTCCGTTTGGCCCTGTTCACCATCTCATTGATCCTCTCCACACACTTCTCTGTTCCAATCAGCTGGCCCCAATCAAGGGAAAGAGAAGTTACAAAGATTCGTAGGACCTTTGTTTCCCCTAGATTACCATATGAGCTCAAAACCACCACCCTCAGGAAGATACAGAAAATGAACCCCCAACCAAGCTCACTGGTCCCCTCAAGTGCGGTCTGTGAATTTACCCAGTGATTTGTGCTGAGTCCATCTGCTTCTGCCACGATCTGCCCATCCTCTGAGAGTAAAAGGACCTTGGACCGTGTGCCTCCCCTACAGAACACAAGGGGGCACTCAGTTTTGCTCAGAAAAATCAGCAGATAGGGCTAAGCTCCTGAAGTCCTTGTCAATGGCAGCTCTGGCACAACCAACCACCATTCCCAAACCCACCTCTGGGCTATGGTATTTTCTGTGCTTAGCTCCCTTTGGGGGTGTCCTGCTTATCTTGCAATGCTCTACTTATGTGTCTTCTAGTCCTTGAAACTTATGTGTAACCCACTCTTACAGCTCCATTGGTTAAGCTCCTGTAGCTATTAGATATCCATCTGTATTAAGAGTGTGTTTAGCTGTTTTCCTTCCTGCCCCTCTTCAAGTCAACCTCCACTGGGTCAAGAATCGCTTACCTATCCTCACACCTAGCACAAGGGACAGGCACAGGAAACACTCCACAAATGTAACTAAAGAGAATGGCACATTTCTGCTTCTCTTACAATAGTTAAAGGCTCTTCTCAAGATCCAGCTCCATTTGCCAACGTCTTCAAGACACCCTTGTAAGAAACAATGACTAGATGGTGGGGAGAGTTTTTATCTACTTAGGCAACTTAATGGTCAATGCTTTATTACTAGGGGAAATAGAAGCTTGGAGGGAGACCTGTGGCAGTGTGATGTATGTTTCTTTATTGATAGGTACTTTAATACCAGATGAGAACACAAAAGACTTGCCCATCAAACTCAAAGATGACATAAATTTTAAAGAGGTAGTGAATACATGAAGTGGCAGATTCAATATCCATAAGAATCTCTTAATTGGGAGCCTCCCTGGTGGCGCAAGGGGTGGAAAAATGGGTCAAAGCTTACAATAATGTAAAAGGGATGAATGCAAACTTCAGAACTTTGTTATTTTTTTAAAGTGCAATAGGTAAGAGGATTGATTTGGGCAGGGGAAGAACAATTCATGTGCCTAAGAAGACTTTGGGGTCTATGAGTCAGCAGTGAGATGCAGCTGCCATAAACGTGACTCCAATCTTAGATTTAAAATTAAGTGCCCAGACAGAGACAATAGCCACCTACTATTATGCTCTGATTTGGCACGCCCTGATTTACATAACACTGTGCCTGCCAAGGGATTCAGCAATCACCATCTCTCTTCTAACTCTACTCAGGTGGTCAGTGAGGTCTTACTGAGCAAAGGTCTTATCCACAGTCATTTCAAGCAGAAGAACTATTACGCAAGGACCAGAAGTCAAGCTTCTGAACAGGAAAAGATGCAAGAATAACAGGAAGATTCAATATAGGTGAGAAGCCCTAAGTGCCTACGAAATGGAGGGGTTTCAGGCATCAGCACAGGCCCGCTCACCGGCTCTCTCAGCTGCTCCAGCTCCCAGACACCCTCAGCAAACATCTTTGTCCAGGCATTCGCCACATTCCTGCTCCCTATCCCTCCTCCCTCAACTTCACATCTGACACCTGTTCTGCAAAACTCTCTCCCGGGTCCGGAATGGGGGAAAGGAGCTTCTCAAGCTGGAGACAGTGGAGTGGATCATTCGTGGGCGAAACGTGTGGGTCCACCGTGAACCACCACCCCCACCCCCGGGGTGTGGCGAGGCACGCGCAGAGCCCCTGCAAGGCACACGTCCGCACGCAAGGGCAACCCGCGCCCGCCCCGCGGCTGCCCGACTCGCCGGGCCCTGAGGCGGGAAGCCAACGGCCTGCCCAGCCGGCCACAGCTTTCCTTTTGCCCGGTCCTCCCAGACTCCGCCCACCGAGCCGCACTCACCCCTCTACACCTCCGTACAGGGCAGCCATGCTGCTGCTCCCGCCGCTGCTCCCGCCGCCGTTTGCCAGCCTCCGCTGGTGCTCGCCTCCCCAGCTCCCAAACGCTCGGCGACGCCCCGCATCACATGAACGCCCGGGACGGCCAGCCGCCTCCGGTGCCAGTGCGCGTGCGCGGGGCGGGGCAGCGCGGGGCGGGGCAGCTGCGAGGCGGGGCGGGGCGGGGCAGCTGCGGGGCGGGGCAGCTGCGGGGCGGGGCAGCTGCGGGGCGGGGCACGTCCCACGCCTCTGCGAGTCCTGGGCTGGGCGAGTGCAGTCTTCCGCATCTTCCCCACACCGCTTGCGCCCTGCCTCCGTGGACGGATACCGGAGTCTAAGCGGAGGGCCTAGAAAGGGGCGTCCGGCTCAGACCCGCAGGCCACGTCACCGCCTGTCTGCCCTTCAGCGCCCGGAAGTCCCCGGCAGCCAGTCCTGACGCGTGCGCGGTGCTTCCGAGCCGTGCGGTCGCGGTGACGCTCGCGTGACGCGCGCTGCGCGGTTCCCCCACGGAGTCGTGGACCCTGGGAGCCGCGCGCACCAGCCAGAGGGTGCTCTGGGCTTCCTAGCAAGTTACTACAATGTTCAATCAAACACCTACCGAGCAAGGACAAAAGTCATACGTGCACAAACCCCCACGCAGACTTTTTGCTGTAATCGCGTGGATATGTGTAACCTGGGGTAACTAGAAACGAAACTGAGGAAGAAGAGCTCTCCAAGCCTCCTTCCAGCCCCAAAAGAGCGAGCATTCAACTGTTAGTACCAGTTAAGCCCTGAGTAGTTCTCCGTGGACATCCACTACCCGGCAGATACTATTTGGGACTTGCAACACCCCAGCAGGAGGTCCTGGGAAGCTCACCAGGTTTGAAAGGTCCTCTGAGAATCTGCAAGCCACAGTCTTGTTCTCTGACTACTTTGGTCCCATGACTACTGGGAAGCTGTGTTTCTATCAGGTAGGAGGGCCAGCTAAGAGCCACAGTGGAAAAATAATCTTCCTTTCCAAATCCACTTATGATTTGGGGTAAGAGGACTTTTGGTCCCTAGGTCTTCAACAGATTATGTTGACTTGGTTCCTGAAAGCATAACCCGGTCTGTTTTTACTCCACTGTATTTCCAGGATTCACCTCAGTACTGGACGCAGGAGGTCCATAAGTAGTTTTGAGAGTGCTTATAAACTGGAAAGCACTGTATCACAACCATAAAAGGTAATAAGTGACCCACTGTGAACTAAAGGAAGCAAGTAAATTCTGAGGCAGAGACAATTTGCTGAACAAATTAGGAAAAGAAAGATGTTTGGAGAAAATAGAAGTGAAACTGTGAACTAGGGAAACAGGAGGTGGGGGGGGGGGTATTCAAAGAGAACTAGTCCTAATCTGTCCAGTATTGAGAAGTTGCCAGAACATGTGTGACCTCAGCTTTGTTTTTCAGGATAGTTAATCTGGCAGGTTCCTTATAATGGAAATTACAAGAGGTAATTTCCCAGAGCAGGGAACCATTTAGAAGTTTGGGACAATGAATAGGCCCTGGCAAGAGATGAAAAAGGAAGTGATGTGGGCAGAGCACAAGTTAGGATCCAAGGTGATTATAGGGAGTGGGGATGAGGATCCTGTTGACTTCTAGCTCTCTGTTGATCTGGAATGACGACAGAGATAGAGGCTGGAGTTGACTTCCCCACAATGAGAGGAGTGTGAGAGGCTGCCTTACTAAGGACAGAGGTGGAGATTCAGTCTATTATATACAGGTGCATATTTAAGATAGTTTTTATGTGTTTTTTTTTTTCTATACTAGCGTATGTACAGAATTAGAATTAGAATTTCAATTCTTGGGTCTCCCTGGTGGCGCAGGGGTTAAGCACCGCACTATGAAGCAATTCCCAGCCTCTGCAGCAAGAGTTCAATCTCCGGTTGGCCAGGGAGCAACCCACATGACACAGCAGACCTCTCCTGTCTCGCCTGCTGCTCCCCTCTGCAGTGTACTTCAGTCGGTCTGCCTGTTCTGTTCCCTGTTCTGTCTCTGGTGAATCCTCTCACACACACCACCCCCCACCCCTGCATCTCTGGCCTGTACCCCAGCTCTTGTATGCAAAATAAATAAATCTTTTTTTAAAAAAAAGGAAAATGACAATCAAGATTACTTTTAAAAAAAGAATTTCAGGGCCTCCCCTGGTGGCGCAGCGGTTGAGCGCTGGGCTGTGAAGCTGCCCGCAGCCTATGCAGCACCGGTTCAATCCCCGGCCACTGGTGAGGTTCCCACATGGCAAGACAGACTTCTGCTGCGCCCGCTGCTCCCCTCTGCAGGGTACTTCAGTCCTTCTGCCTGTTCTGCTCCCTGCTCTGGCTCTGGTGAATTCTCTCACCCTCCCACGCTTCTGACTGTACCCAGTGCTTGTATAAATAAATAAATAAATCTTTAAAAAAAAAAAAGAATTTCAATTCTTAGACTTAAGCAGACTTATATATTTAGGCATCACTGAGTACATACATAGACATACAAATGTAACTTTGTATTGTTATGCTAATATTACACAGCTTACTTTTATTGATTCATTCATTTGTTTATCTTAATTCATCAGCCATTTATATATCAATATAACTTTGGGATTATTTTTCACTCTGTGTGTATACACACTTCACTCACCCTCCACCAAATCTCCTGTGCCAGTGCCCTGTCCCCTTCCTTCTCCTCTCCCAACATCTCTCTTACTGTATTCAGCCACTATGTTTTTTGATTATTTATATTTCACAGATAAGGAAAACATTCCGATATTGGTCTTCTGCTTTCTGACTTACTTCACTTAACATCATCACCTCGTTTCATCCATATTGTCCCAAAAGACACTATTCATCCTTTTAAATAGATGAGTAGTATTCTGTTGAGTATGTAGTCCACAATTTCTTTATCCAGTTTTGGGGCACTTAGCTGGTCCCATGCCTTGGCAACGTGGATATGTATGCCCAGCTTTCTAATCTCCACCTGGCGATACCATATTAGTAACTTGAGATTGCCATGGTTGGAGTATTTACAACCCAGAAGACTTCAGCTGCTACAAATCAGTTTGTTGTTGTTGTTTTCTAGAAAGTTGGCTGTTAAACATGTCCCAACACCACTGGACATGGGTTAAAAACTAGTTCTGTGAATATGTCTATGGGCTGTGTATACCAGTGCAGAAGTACATAGAGTAAGTCCTTAACATCTTTCATAGTTCTTGCAAACTTCAACTTTTATTGAAAAGATTATAATGAAACCAGGTCCTCAAATAACATTTTGTCCAATGTCAGCCAGGATTGTTTTTCTCATTAATGTTATAATGAAATGACATTAAAATAAATGAATTTAGGGCCTTCCCTGGTGGCTCAGGTGGTTGAGCGCCACTCTGTGAAGCTGTCCACAGCCTCTGCAGCGCCAGTTCGATCCCGGCCAGCCGGCTAGGGTCCCACATGGCACGGCAGACCTCTCCTGCCTCGCCCGCTACTCCCCTCAGCAGTGTATTTCATCAGTCTGCCTGTTCTGTTTCCCACTCTGTCTCTGGTGAATCCTCTCACCCTCCCGGGCATCTGGTCTGTACCCTGGTTTTGCATAAAATAAAAAAATAAATAAATGAATGAATTTATTTGAGGCCCTGCTATATATGAAAGTGTGCAGGTTCAGTTTTTCAGAAACCATAAACTCAGGGGTACAAAAAGCAACTATTTTCCTACAGCTAAACTGAATTTCTGTTTCAATCCTCCGCTCAATCTAATCACTTGCAGGCGTACTCTTTTCAGGTTGCAATTTAGAGATTTTTTTTTAGAGATTTTTTTTAATATATATTATTTATTTATTTATTTATACAAGCACTGGGTACAGTCAGAAGTGCGGGAGCGTGAGAGAATTCACCAGAGCCAGAGCGGGGAGCAGAGCAGGCAGAGGACCGAAGTACACTGCTGAGGGGAGCAGCGGGTGGCAGGAGAGGTCTGCATGCCATGTGGGACCCTCCTCCAGTGGCCAGGGAGCAGCCGGGAATTGAACCAGCACTGCAGAGGCTGCGGGCAGCCTCACAACCCAGCACTCAACCGCTGCGCCACTGGGGAGGCCCTCAGATTGCAATTTTGATCCAACTCTCATCCTCCTCTTGGCTCCCCTAGTTTACATCTGAGGGTCAGGGTTCATCAGTACCCTCAAAACAGTGAGGAGGGTGGCCACTGAAATGGGCAATTTCTCCATCAGGAGCTTTGCTCACTTCTGTCCAGTCCCTAATAGCTCCTGAGATTCCTTAGTCCCCACAAAGCTGCCAGTCATTTAGTTCACACTGCTGTCTCTGGAACCTATCGTTTGGTTAGTTGTCTGCAGGGTTTATGTTTCCTTCCTTCTGGGCACTGTCCTTCCAGTCTGTCTCTGGGGATCAGAAAAAAAAGAAGAAAATCACATCACCCATACACAAACACCAGATAAGATAAACTGTACTACCATATTCTAGAGATGTAAATTCCCCGGGGTCAGGGGCTCATAGAGGATCAAACTGGGATTAGAACCCAGTTCTCTCTGACATGAAAGCCTTTGTCATTACTAGTCTGTACCAGCAGTCTGTGTCCCAGGAAAGAGGTGAAAAGGACTCAGGGCAGTGGGATGGAATAGGTTATGCAGACCAACATGAGGTAGTTGCTTCCAGAACAGGTGCATCCTCTGGAAGAGATCAGGGAAGATTCTGTGGGCAGAGGGGTAGAGGGGGTACCTTGTTTTTCCCAGGCTCCTGTCTATCAGCTTATATGGGAAACCAGAACCCCCATCTCTTATAAAATTATGGGTTTTAAATAAATAGATAATTGTAGTTTTATTAAGACAATTGTAGATTCTTGTGCAATTGTAAGAAATACTACAGAGAAATCCCTAGTGTGATCATCTTGCACAACTACAGTAAGTATTGCAAGCCAGATGTTGGCACAGATGCAGTTCATTAATCTTTTCAATTTTCCCAGTTTCACCTGTAGCCATTTTCACAAGTGTGTGTGTGTGTGTGTGTGTGTGTGCACGCACGCATGCGTGTGTGTTACCATGTGTGTAGGTTCATTTATCCACTGCCTCAGTGAAAATACAGAACAGTTATATCTCCATAAGTTTCCCTCAACTTACC